TGACCTGGGGGCCTCATCTTCCAGTGTCTTATGTTTTTTGCCTTTTCATACTGTCAGTGGGGTTCTCAAGGCACAAATACTGGAGTGGCTAGCCATTCCCTCCTCCAGAGGACCACACTTTGTCAGAACTTTCCGCCATGATCTGTCCATCTTGGATGGCCCTACACAGCATGGCTCATAGCTTCAGTGAGTTATGCAAGCCCCTTCGCCACAACAAGGCTGTGATCCATGAAGGGGGATCTTCAAGGCCCCAGTGCCCACGTTCCTTAGTCTCAAATAAAAATGTCACCATCTCCGCAGCTGCCCAAGCAGAAGCTTCAAAATTACCTTCTGACGTTTCTCATACCACCAACACAAGTGTTCTGTCACTAGATCCTGGGTAGGAGTTGCGTGCTCTCTGTGTCCCCAGCTCAGGGCCTAGCACAGGATCTGGCACACAGTAGGCACAAAGATGAATGAGTCCACGTGAATCCCATACGGCCGTCATGTCACCTCTCATCCCCACTCTACTAACCCTTCCCAGGCTTATTCAGTAGCTTCCTACTGACCTCTCCACTTTCCTCCTTCTAACCCTTCACCTGTCTCCACAGTTCTTAAAGGACAATTCTGATGAGATGTCCGTTGTAAAACCTTCTAGGGCTCCTACTGCCAAAGTTCTCTACAAGCTTCCAACGCCCTGTGCAGTCTACCCTCAAAGCACTTTTCACATTTTACTTTTCAATGTTTCACAGACCTTTAAGTCTCTGGACCCCTGTTGGTGATGTTTCCTGACTATTCTCTTCTGGGCCCCGCAGGACTGTCTCTACTGGGACGAGTATCACACTCGACTACACAGCCTCCTGCTTTTGTCCTCCTCACCCAACCCCCACCATCCTGCACCCTGAGTCCCTTCAACGCAGGAGCCCTGTTATATTCAGCCTTATGTCCTGGCTGCATGGATGCATGCATGTGACAGATGCCCACATGGCTTCTGAGTTTAAAAAGATACCCAGGTTAATGGAAAACAGCCATAGAAGATTAACAACAAAGCAAAGAAAAAAGAATGACCAAAGTGGAACATGTGCTCAGTAATCCATGGGTGTTGATAATACAACCACAAAAAGGTCAAGTACAATACACTGAAACGCCCTCTAAGGATCCCATGAGACTCAGTGAGATGGACACGGTGATTGGAAGAGAAATACACCTTATTTAAAATAACTGCAACAACAGTAATAACATCCAGTATGTACTGAGCACTTGATGCAGTTACTATGTGCATCAAGTAATAAGTTACATGTATTATTATTACATCATGTAATACATCATGTAATAAATAAATACATCATGTAATAAAAATATAATTATACCATGTAATAATAATATATCATACATATTAATAAGTTACACATATTAATAATATGTATATTAATAAATAAGTTAACATTTATAATAGTTAACTTAATAAATTAAGTTAATTTATTAACCTAATAGGTTAATATTAATAAGTAATGTTATTATTAATAATAAATGAGTTATACATGTTATTATTACATCATGTAAATAAGTTACACATATTATTTACTATGTTCTTCACAGCAGGGGCATAAAAGTAGGACTACTATTACCCCTGGTTTATTCATAGGAAAACAAAACAACAAAAATCATGGCATGGAAAGTTAAGAAACTCACCAGAGTTCACTCATCTGCTCTGACCAAAGCAGAGATTCAAATGCAGGCTCTCTGATTGCACAGCCTTCAGTGAACTATATGACAGACCAGTTTTTTCCCCAAATGACAGGTAGAGGAGAAAAACAAGAAAGTGTCAAGATGTACACCAATATGGACAAGCAGGACTCTGAGGTTCAAAGGATGGCAGAGAGCTAATGGATGAACAGTAAAGAGAGAATGAGAGGGGACATCAGTGATACTGGTGCCGGCCAAAAGTCTCACTCTCTAAAAAGTAAGCCTGACAAATTCTTGAACAATCTTCCAGACAATCTCAACACTCAGAAGGAAGGAAACAACTGGAGGAAACAATAAAAGGAGCAGACACCCTGAACTTACTTTAACCAGTAAGGAGACACTGCTTGATAAAAAAGAAGAGGAATATGTAAAGATAACCTGGTAGGGAAATTAACTGTGATTTATTTTCCTGTGGGAATCATTAAACTGAAAACGAGAACGAATACTGAAGAGGTGGCAGTATTTCTCCATCGCATAATTCTTCCCCCACCAAAGCCTAGAAGGTATGGGATCCTGGTGTGATTCAGACGCACCATGCACAGGACTCCAGGCAGAAGTCAGCAGCGGGGTTCTGGTTACTCAAGGTCAACAGGAGTGGGAAAGAAGCGGTGCTGTGCTGTGCCTAGTTACTGTCATTTCTGACTCTTTGTGACCCCACGGACTGCAGTCCACCAGGCTCCTCTGTCCCTGGGATTATCCAGGCAAGAATACCAGAAGGGTTGCCATGCCTTCCTCCAGGGGAATCTTCCCAACCCAGGGATCAAACCCAGGTCTTCTGCACTGCAGGTGGATTCTTTTACCAACTGCACCACCAGGGAAGCCCAGGAATACTGGAGAGGGTAGCCTATCCCTTCACTAGCGGATCTTCCCAACCCAGGAATCGAACCGGGGTCTCCTGCATTGCAGGTGGATTCTTTACCAGCTGAGCTACAGGGAAGCCCCGAAGGAGGCTGTGAGCAGAAAGCAAACTGCAAACCTCATGTATCCAAGTTCAAACCCCTGATGTGCCTCTTAGGAGCTGCACCACTTTGACATGTGTCTTAAATCTCTCAATTTCAAGTTTCCTCACCTGTAAAATGGGGTTATACGACCTACTTCTTAGCGTCATAGTTAAATGAGTCAATAGTAAAAAGTACTTAGCCCAGGGCCTGGTGTGCAGCCACTAATGTGATTACTGTTACCTTGTAAGATATTTCTCTGTAACTCACTAACCTTGTGACTATCTCTTGTTTTCTATGATGATTTGCTTGCTGTTATTCCCGCCAATCTTCAGGGCATATAATGCAAACCCTGACAGCAAAACAAGTAAGGTGATCCTGCCCTCATTTGCATGTCAATGTCTCAGTGCAGTCTGAAGGAACAACACGAATTTACAAAGCCCTAAACCATCACTGCGCTGGGCTGGGCTGGACAAGGGTAAAAGGGCAGTCTGAGTAAAAGACAACCCTGCCCTCAAGAACTGCACATTATCTTTTAGGAACAATGACAAATTACCATTAATTTCCCCAGCTACAAAGGTTAGGCTGAAACCCAGTTGGCAATGACAGGTAATCCCCAAAAGCCACGGAAACATGTCTTTGATGATTCTGGATGTCTTTGGACAAGTAAGCACCCAGCGATTTTTAAGAAAAGGATGACTCTCTGAGAACTGCACCTCACCTCACAGCAAATAGTGGATCTCATATGTGATAGTCTTTAAAGTCAGCCCTTCCAGGCTATATATACTTAAAGAGGGGAATACAAGAAAAAAAAGATAACGTGTCTAAGCATGAGATGGTACTAGCTTAATGTGAATGAGAGCAAGCCTGGCTTGGAAATAATGGAAAAGCTTTTTTGTCCCCAAAAAATGTAAACAGCTTTATTTCTTATTATAAAAGTAATACATACTCAATGCTTAAAAAAAGAATATACAAAAGTGTAAACTAAATCATATACAATCTTCCCATTCAGAAATCATCAGAACATTTTGTTTTTTCTCCTTCTAGACTTCTTGAGGTATGCATCTATTATCAATTACTTCTTTTTCAAATACGGGATATAGTTTCAAACCACACATGCTGTCTGACACTTTTTCTCCCACACTTCCATGTATCATACTCATCATTAAACTAACACAGAATCCCAAAATCAAAGTCACAGAGCAGTCTTCTATAGGTACATTCCCTGACATTGTAAGACCATGAAATAAGAAAAGGCAAGACACAAAACTAGAAGACCCCTATGGTCTGTGACTGCTATCAGATTCTCCATCTCCTCTGAGACCAGCCTGGGGACAGCAGGAAGTTTCTCAGCAGCTGGGGCTGCCTGCAGGGGAGGGCAGAGTTGATGCTCCTGCAGCCCAGCAGCTTGTGGACCCCAGGTCTGTAGCACCACGTGCACGCTGAGGCCTCTGCCCTGAACACCTGACTCTGAAAGCCCCGCTGCCCACCTCAGAACCTCTCGAGTGAACTCCAGTGGGAGTCCGCAGAAGAGCCCTTCAGCTCACAGGATCCTGGCGGACACTGTCTCTGGCCCCTGCACCCAGACTCAGAATCACTTGGCAATTAAGCTGTTTTGTTCACCGTATCACTTTCCCAAAGCACAGATTCATCACCCAGTTTAAACAGGAATACTTATATGCATGACCTCTTACAACTTTGAAGGAGCATAAAAGTAGCTTCGCTGAGGACAATAGAAAGTTGCCCCAAAAACAAATTTTATGTACTTTACAATTTTGCTTTAAGGAATGTGGGGTCAAGGAGTGGGTAGGTACTGCAACACCAGAGTGTTAATGTGGGAACCAAGAGGGCAGATGTAACATGCTGATCAATGGAAAAATCAGGAAAAAAGAAAAAAGGTGGCTGAAAAAAAATTAAATTTAAAGACGGTTGATACGAGGAAACATAATTTTCTCCCATATCTTGGCATGGAAAGGATAAACTAAGGAACTCCAATTTTCCCTAGCCAAACTGTGGTGTGAGTACAAAAAGCTGCTGAAGTGTGTAGAAGATGCCTTAAAACAGCCAAGGGCCCATAAAATCACGTGTGAATGCAGTTCTTGTTTAAGTCAGCAGGATGTACGCTACAGCCGAGCACCACACTCAGAGGCGGGGGAGAGGACACACAGCCTGGGACACAAATAACCAGGCTGGGCTAGAGGCAGAGCTGGAGCCTGAGAACAGGGACGTCTACCGTGTGACCCGACAACCTGCCCAGCAGCGGCCAGCCTCTGTAACACAGCAGCGAACGAGCACACACTCCTGGGAGGGACTGATGCCAACTTCAACACATCAAGATGCATTTAAAACACTGAGTTTATTTCATTTAATCATTGCTAGTAAATTGTTAGTGCTCTGTGTTAGAATCTTATAATGAAAGTGATTGTGTGTACACAAGTGTACACAGTATGGACAGCAGGAAACCATGTAGAAAAACTAAAGGGAAATGTCATACCTGGGGCACTAACCTAGAGACGCATTGCCAGAGGGGGCTCCCTAAAAAGAGAGAGCTCCGGATGAGACTAAAAGGACAGAGAATAGGGGCTTAGAAAGAAAGAAAATAGTGTGAAACCAGAGCCCCTGTATCACCTCCTGGAGATGAACAATTTCATCCCCAATTGCACTTCAGGTCTTTACTGCTGGTAAACTGTTTCATAAATGCTACTAGTGAAATTGTCCAAAAACGAAAGATGGGACTGAGGTAGCTTAGTCTTGAAGCTATTTAGGTTAGATACTAACTGCTGCTCAGCAAACCCCTTCACTTTGGGCTAAAAGCTCATTATCCTATTGGGATCATTCACATGTCAACATTTATTGCCTACTCTGTGCAAAGCACTGGTTAAACACACAAGTACACAAAGAAGATACAGCCCTTGCCTTCTGGCCTATAAACCAGATAAGGAAATCAGTTATCTGCAACCATGGGCTAAATGTCTGACATACAGCAATGCTCAAAAACACTGTGGTGGTTGACTCAATGCTATAATAGAAGTATGCACAAAAAAGGGGGGGTGGGGGTCAGGGGGCCTTCCCAAAGGACATTCATCCCTTTGCCATAACATGGATGAACCTAAAAGTTCACAATTTTGTACACAGAAACCTTCTCTTAAAGAATAAACAATCAGTGAATACCATTAACAGGCAGGAGCTATCAGAGTTCATGACACAAAAAGGGGAAGGGAAGTGAGAGTCAGGAAAATGTTATCACTCATTTTATAACGGAGAGTATTTTAATTCTTGTCCTTAGGAACTATAAACACTAGCATGATTTGGAAATGAGACTGTACCAAACACCGGCCAGAGAAGAATCGTCCAGTCTACGGCTTCTCTTTCATCTGGTCACTCAGAAATATAATATTATCTGTAAAGAAGCCAAAGCACAAATGTTATTTTCAGAACTCTTTCTCCACCTCACTTAATCATTCCCTTCTACCACATACATATTTTAGTGCTATTCACCAAAGAGACTTTAGACAATTCTCAAAATACTAGGTTCCTGCTGAGAAGGGGACAACAGAGGATGAGATGGTCGGATGGTATCACCAACTCGACAGACATGCATTTGAGCAAGCTCCAGGAATCGGTGATGGACGGGAAAGCCTGGTATGCTGCAGTTCATGGGGTCACAGAGTTGAATACGGCTGAGTGACTGAACTAACTGATGTTCTTGACAGGTATTTATGATGGGCATAATGGAGGTAACAGCTGGGCTTTGACGGTTTATCAGTAATTCAGACCTTGTGAGAAAAGGTGGGATACTTCTTGTCTTCCCTGAAGGTAGCAAAGGTCTTCTCAGTAGTAACTTTCTACAAAAGAGCTAGTCACACACTTTGATGCTTGCAACACTCAGACAGATGCCAGTAAACCAAGGAGCACATCCTCACACAGAAGAGGATCACGGCATCACATACCACATGCTCGAGGGAAGAGGGAAGGATGGGGTTCAATATGGCCCCATCAGGACAGAGATCTATTTGTGTTTTTTAAGTCTGAACACTCATACAGAACACACGGTATTTCTAAATTTCAAAACAAAATTAGTTTTACACATTTATTCTTGGGAAATTTTCTAGTAATCAATATTTCAGAGGGAGCATTTTTATCCAAAAACATCAGACACTGCTCCTAAAAGGTTGTCCAGAAACAATTAGTTGAGGACAAGCAAAGGAAAAGCAGTACCTTCTACAAAATACCAAAACACTGACATTCTTAAAACTTTAGAATTATCCCAAAAATGGTTACTATACAATAACTGAATATTTCTTCATGACTATAGTCTTCTAAAACTAGAGTATTTTGGTATAGAATAGTTATTTCAGAAGAGATTATCCAAGTTGACATCACTATGTAAAAAGACGAGACTGCCACCTGCTGGTGGCTATTTTTAAATTACATTGATTTCTAGGAGAAAAAAATATATAGCCCATAAAACAGATGAGCCAAATTATACTCTATTCCCTTCCATCCTAAAGGCACTAAAGACCTATTCATTTTACTATTAGCCATAAACCTATGTTAACTGCTTAATCATCCATGCTGGTGAATAATAGTGACAAGAAAAAAATGGCAGATAATTTGAAATGTTTCTCTTTGACCTGGTTTATAAAACTTCACACAATTTAAATTTGAAATTTGTCCACACAAAAGGTTTACAGTAGAAGATCAAAGTATTAAATGCTTCATAAATAGGTCAACTATTTTATTAGACAGCTTGATTTTCCATTGCTGAAATCACAGGCATAGTTTTATATCATACACAGGTCTGGAAAAAATTTTTTTGAACAGGTAGATACCTCTGCAAGAATAAGCCAAGGAAGAGGGCAGGCAGGAAGTGATTTACTCAAGACACTCAAGAAATATGAAAGCAAACTGGTCAGAAAGAACCTTCTCTTAAGTTTAATAATGAGGGGAGGAAGATACCTATATTGGTTCTCAAGGTCAATATACTTTCAAGAAAGCAGTAAGAAAATATATGCTTATTATTTATAACAAATTATAATTTATCAATAACACATAGTAGTTAAGACATGAACTCTGGAACAAGTAAAAAGAGAAAAAGGAAAATCTGTCAGAAGACTTAAGCTGTCAGACTTTTAGCCTCCCAAATCTAAATTCTTTTTTTTTTTTAATGAGACTTAAGATATACATAAACCATGTAATATAACATATAGATTGCTGTTCATGAAGCAAGCAAAAAAATTTCAATACTATCACATCTAGTAAAACGTAATTTAACAATGAGTTCTTAATACTAGCTCTGATAATAGCACTATAAAGAGGAATCCATACATTTCAAAGACACCTACTGAAATATTTATGGATGATACAATGTCTCAAGATTCACTCAAAATGATCCAGGTGGGGGAAAAGTGAGCTGGGGCATAGATGAAATAATATTTGCTATCTGCTGATAACTGTTGAAGCTGCATGATGGGAGTTTTTGTTTTTCACTCCTCTCTCCTTTTGTGTATGTTTAACATTTTCCATAATAAAAAATTAACTTTTAAATATCTAATTTTGGCATATCTCTGAAGTTCATAAATAGCTCTTTCACTCTCATCAACTTATTTAAGAAAATAGTTTCTTGAGTTTTATATCCATAAAAAACAAGAAAACAGAATGAATGTTTAATAACTTTTATTTTAGCAATTAATCCAAAAGACAAAAAATGCATCATCTATCTCATTAAGACACATTTTCAATAAAATGTTATAGCTTTGGTACTTACATATTACAGTTGTTTTGGTCAATTATATTCTAAAAACAACTGTAATGATAACCTATTCAAGGAGAAACCTAACATTTAGAGCCTCACTATCGCAAAGATTTTAAAATATTCTAAAATTTCTATTTATGCATGTACTTTTGTTACATTTAACAGAATAAAATAATAAAATATTTTTTACTATACAATATATTATATTAAGATACACTTCTAGGGAGAAAATGGAATTGAAAAACAAATTCAGAGAAAAGGGAATCATAAACTTTCCAAATGTTGAAGAGCTTGTATCTTTTTAATGATGATGGATATCAAATTGTTATGGTATTTAGATCCCTTAATACCTTTAACAGCAACATAATTTTATATTGAAAAAAACTCTTATTAATGTCAACCTAGACGTGTCCAAAGGGGTATATTGGTTTCAAAATTCTCGCAAAATTTTCAGAAAAGCTTAAACACTCTTCGTCTAGTGGATATCTTCTTAACCTCCTTTAAGCTCTGTGCATCCATTTTTCCATGTTGTTTTGTATTTTGTTTAATGAGAACAGGAGTTTAAAACAAAATCATCACGTTAAGTACCAAACAGGCTCTGAATGAATCTGTACAAATGTCTGGTGCCAATATTAGTGTAACTCTTCTTGGTACATGCTTTTCCATTTAGGTCGTGTCCTTCAAAGAGGCATCAACAGTGCAACAGATAATTCTAAAGTTACTTGTGAACTAAAACTGTGAGTACAGAGATCACTTTCTGAAAGAAGACATATATATATATAGAAACTTGGAGCAGGCCCACAAACTCCACTCAGGATTCTCCTGGTGGGGTGCCTTACAATCTCATAAGCATCAGTACTAATAGCCTCAGGTAAGGCTGCAACATAGCCAAGCTTTCAAAGGGAAATAAAAAAAAAAAGAATAGCTATTATCACAAGAGCCTTACCTGCTATAATTGTTGTTGCTTGTCGTCTCACATTATTTTTATCCGTATATTCACCATAGTCTACTTTCCCTTCCACAAAAATTCGAGACCTGATACAAATAAAATTTACCAGTTTTAGTCTGGAGATTTCAATATGCTTTACAGCAGAGTCAGGTCAGAGAAGAGTTATACTCTTCAAGGATAAAATAGATAATCACACATACCACTTCTCAAAATTCAGAATTAAGAGTGCTAAAACAGTTTCCTGATGGTTAGGACTCTGCGCCTTCACTGCCTGATCCAGGAACTGAGATCCTGCAAGCCACGAGGCACAGCCAAAGAACAAGAGTACCGAAACATAAAGTACACGTGGACTTGCCTTGCCACACTGTAGAAAAAATGATGTTTTTGTCTTTTAGCTGCCTGTGGCCTTTATGAAGTTTAAGGAAAAAAGTTCCAAATTTTAAGTCAAAATTTTTTTAAAAAGCAACCTTAAGACAGTGAAAATGAAGAGCATCCTTTAAATCTCTATGACTGATTTCCAACATGTGATTTTTCTATCCCCTCTGACCCTGAATTATCTAACAGATTTGTCGGGTTTTTTTTCACTTATTTTTCAGTTCCTTTCTATAGTGAGGTTCATGAACTTACTCTCAAATGACTTTAGATTATTAAAATTCAAAACAAGTTTTCAGCTTAGTATTTCACCCAGAGTTAATTATTAAGACTACTCTGCACTCTCTAGAAGGCTGAACTAGAAGACAAATGTAATGCCGACTTTAAAGGGTAGAAAATGGCCACAGCGGCACCAATCTCAGAATCTAACAGCACTGATACTGTACAATATAGAAAGCAGACTAGTACAATGACTGGGTGCCAAAGGGAACAGTCACACAGACTCATCAACCAGTAAGTGAAATTGATACCTTTTCCTTGAAATGTCCCCTACGTGTTTTATGTGTATATATATATTTACATACTATACACACACAACAATGGAGGTACATATGAAGAAAAGGTATGCAGTTACTGAAAAAAATTGAAATTTTAATTATTGCTAAACTTATGTTTCATGAAATGTTTTATTTCTATAATAGTTAAACTATGACTATAGCTGCTGCTAAACACAAACAATCTTTTGTCCTTCTGTGGGTTTGGAAAAGATACTTCTTATACATAATCCAAACATTTCAAATCAGAATTGCTACGCTCATATAAAATTATCAAATATGAATTAACTGCTCTGAATATCCCCAGAATACCTCACCACATCAGGCTCCCAACCTCCTAGACCCTCTGTCAAGCCACCACGTGGATGCCAAGAGGAAGACACCCACCATCGGGGTCCCTGGCCATGGCGGCCTGGGAACTCCCACGAGCACTGCTGCACCTGCTCACAGGCACACAGTACCCTCTGCCTTCTCTCTCACCTCATCAGTGCTGTTCAAGTTCGCATCCTATTGTCCTGAGTTCTTAAAACGCTAAACCATGTTAAAACCTTTAAACTAGTCACATATGACTCTATGCATACAGTATTAAGCACTGATAAATACCTCTTGGGCTAACCCAAAGTAATGAGTGGTACTTTATAAACAGAAGAGCTACAGAGTCCATGAAAACACATTCCCAGTTTGTTTGTTTTTTTAAACATTCAACCTGTAAGATCCCTCCTTCTTCAACTTACCCCTTTTTCACATACTGATACGCCACATCTCTGAGGCCCGGTCGGAACACTGAAATTCTATGCCATGTTGTCTTTTGACTGACATCACCTAAGTCACAAGAATCACAAGGACAGGGAATGTGGTTACAAATGCAAAAGACAACTGCCAAAGGGCATTACGTCCAGCTCAGCCATGCCACCGTTTCTAAGAGACAGGACAGAGTTAGGGAAGATCCTTTTTGAAAGTATTCTTAAAGTATCTAATTAGACAAGTCACACTAAATAATGTCTATTTACTGCGGATAAAAGTAAAACCCAGTCTTTTATACTCACCCATTTGGTAGGTTTCATTTTCCCCTGATCGCCACATCTCATTTGTTGCTAGGGAAAATATTGTGACTGGGTTTTTTCCTTCTACCTGTCTCATGACAGGGTCCTGACCTACTCGACCAAGCAACTGCACACGATTCAGAGCTGAAAAGCAATTTGTAGATAACATAAGACTGACAGAAATGTCCAGAAGAGGAACAACTACAAACACTACTCCAACTTCAATCTCAGCATTAAACAAAACCCAAACACTAGAAGGTCAGAAAACAAGTGTGAGGAGCAAATAAAAAGAGGATCGAAGGGAAAAAAAGAGGACGGACAAGAAAGGAGAAAATATCTATAGAACCCCACAAAACAAGCATTAAGCTCTTTATCTAAATTCTTCTTTTCAATTCAGTCAGTTCAGTCACTCAGTCATGTCCAACTCTTTACGACCCCATGACTGCAGCACACCAGGCCTCCCTGTCCATCACCAACTCCCGAAGCTTGCTCAAATTCAAGTCCATCAAGTCGGTGATGCCATCCAACCATCTCATCCTCTGTCGTCCCCTTTGCCTTCTGCCTTCAATCTTTCCCAGCACCAGGGTCTTCTCAAATGAGTCAGTTCTTTGCATCAGGTGGCCAAAGTATTGGAGTTCAGCTTCACCATCAGTCCTTCCAATGAATATTCAGGACTGATTTCCTTTAGGATGGACTGCTTGGATCTCCTTGCAGTCCAAGGAACTCTCAAGAGTCTTCTCCAACACCACAGTTCAAAAGCATCGCTTCATCTTTTAAGCACCTTTAAAAAACTTTTTTTAAACTGTTGTATGGTTAAAAGAATAAAACTGAGATCTGAAAATCTTTATAAATACAGGGACTATTTCTGTGAAACAACCACTTTTCACAAACATTCACTGCTTCAGCCAACTAGCACACAGCCTTGGATGTCTTAGGTAACCAAAAAGGACCCAAGGAATTTCTTTGGCAGGAAAGTGACGATAAGAGTGGGTAAAAAGTGATTGATAAGGAAAGAAGGACCAGGTTTACAGAAGGGCCCTGCAGCCTGATAGGAAGGCCAAGATCAGAGAGGCAGATATGAGCCAAAAGCATGATGGTTAACAGAGTATAACCCGATGAATGCACCTGTTCTGCAACATATCTGAGAACATGAGCAAATTGCTATGAAAACTGGAAATCAGCTACTACTTACACCTTTCGAGAACCAAACTGCTAGCTACTTCAGACTCATGTCTTACAAACTGACGAAGCACCTAAAGTGGAACAAATGAGTAAAACAGCTTTAGTACAGGGGGAAGGCAAATGCAAACAGAAGACCAGTTCACACCTGGTCACCACCCAGTCAGCAGCCCCCAAGGCACACACCCACACACGAGAGGTGCACCCGTCACAGTGCCAGGCACGCGGGCACGCTCAGTGGCTTCGGCGGTGTCCAACTCTGTGCAAACCTGTGGACTGTAGCCCACCAGGCTCCTCTGTGCAGGGGATTCTCCAGGCAAGAATACTAGAGTGGGTTTCCACGCCCTCCTGCAGGGGATCTTTCCAACCCAGGGACTGAACCCACATCTCCTGCATCTCCTGCATTGCAGGGAGCTTCTTTACCACTGCACCACTGGGGAAGCCCCACAGAGCCAGGAGGACCACACACACACTTAGGGGCAGCCTCTGGCAGAAGCCCACAGGCAAGGAGAAGGCCCGAGGGAGCACACAGAGTCCGTTACAGGCCCCTCCTGCTGCTTCGGCGGCAACCTTCTGACACGGTGCTTCTGCGCTTGCACATAAAAAGGTAAACAACACGTGCTGGAAAAATCTGTGCTTCTGACAGCCCCCCAAAAAATCTAAGATAAGCAAATATGGTTCTTTGATTAAATACAAAAAGTAGGACTGTTCGAATCAGTCTGTCAGAGAAAGACAGTCACTGCCGTGTAACAGCAGCACTGTGATAACCAGAGCCATCGTTACTGAAAGGGCTTCTCGGGGGGCGCGGTGGTAAACACTCCGCCTGCCAATGCAAGAGACGAAGGTTCGACTCCTGGGTCGAGAAGATTCCTTGGAGAAGGAAATGGCAACACACTCCAGTGTCTTGCCTGGAAAATTCCATGGACAGAGGAGCTTGGCAAGCTATAGTCCACAGGAGTCCATCATTAGTGAATACTAGGTAAGTGCTTTGCCTCTTATCAATTAATCCTCAGAATAAACCTATAAACTATGTAAAATTACCACCACTTTACAGATGACAAAAATGAAGTTCAGAGATAGAGTAACTTGCCCAAAATCCTACAGGAAAGAAGTGGCAGTCACAACTAGAACCCAGGGCTCCCTGCCCCAAGGCTGCTGGCTTTCCCACTGCCCTTTGCTGCCTTTCCCACTGCCCTTTGCTGCCTCTGTTTAAGGGTTACTGCCAAGATTTGAGTACACATTACTGAGAACGCCACTGGGTTCAGAGAGCTAACCACTGTATCAGAGAAACATGTGTCCAGAACTGGCACTGTTAACATACAGTAGGCATCTACCAATTGAAACAACAACCATTCCAGGGTACTTTTGGCTGTGGAATCCCAGCACTATGCTTGGGGGCAGAGGATGGGTAGAAAAATAAAAATATGAGTTACCACATGGTAAAGAATCAACCTAACTGGTTCTTGTGTCATGATTCTAGAAATGTACTGACCTGATGCTCAGATGAGCCAGAGCTCACATGATTTATGGAATAATAATCTGTCCCATTGGGGGCACACAAAAATCAAGACCTACCGGAGAAGCAAATATAGGGAATGAATTATTTAACTGGGATAATTTTTTAAAACTAAACTTTTAACTCTTTTATATATGGTATTAAATTTACCTTAATACTGTAGAATTGTGTATTAAGACACGAGTAACTTTTCCAGGTTTCACATTTCAACACATTAAAAAGTATATATTTTAAAAGTATGTGTAAGTTAAAATAGGGATCCGAGAATATAGAGCCAATTCTACAGCAGAGTGGAGGAGACCTGAACATGCTTCACACAGGAAATGATTCTTCCTTAACAAGATGGACGTTATGAGAAAAGTGTTACAAAGGAGAATCTATACAACTTGGTGCCCAAACGAGGTAAGTAAGGAAGAGTGTCTAGGCTGACTCAAGGCTGGCTAGACTGACTGAAGAGATTAGGTGAGGAGTCTGACTGGGTGAAATGGGAGTTCTGAAAATAGTTCATCTGTAGAGTTGCTGAAACTTTACCTGCTCTCCTCAGCTGGGAGATGGCTTGTGGTGGGGAACCCAGACTGACAACAAAAGAAGCAGGTGGTCAGAAAACAAACCACGCGATTTTAAAAAAAAAAAAGCTGAAACAATTCTCACTGATTTTAGATCAATAAGGACTTTAAATGCTCTCTAACTGATCTACATGCAAGTAACACTTTTTAAAAAGTAATTACTCTCATCACATATGTGAATAAACTAGAAACGTGGTGGTTTTGTGGTTTTTTTTTTTTTTTTTGCTTTAGTGAACATTATTTATTCAAGTGGTAAAGAATCTGCATGCCAATGCAGAAGATGCCAGAGACGCAGGTTCGATCCCTGGGTTGGGAAGATCCCCTGGAGCAGCAAATGGCCATCCACTCCAGTATTTTGCCTGGAGAAGCCCATGGACAGAGGAGCCTGGTGGGCTACAGTCTATGGGGTAGCAAAGAGTCAGACACGACTGAGCTGGCACCTACCACCAAAATCTGTCTCCAACCCTCATATCAGCTAAGTACACATAAGATAGGTGGGCTCAAAGGACTTGTGCCTCTGCAGGCAAAACCCTAAAGAAATGTGATCACTGTGGTTTATAGTAACACATCTCAACATTAACGTGAAGTGATTACCTGTACTACAGGTCTTCGAAACATGGCTTCTACTCTTTTCTTCCAATCTAATCTTTAGTCTTTTCCTGAAGAAAAAGAGATTATATCCTATAGCAAGAACACGAGTTCACTAAGTCCAAAATTCCTAAAGGCATTCAGGGCTTTTATGCAACCAACCTTGCGACCATAACATATCACGCCCCTGCACATTAGACAAGGATTCCCTCCCCCTCCCCAAAATCTCTCGTACCTGTTTTTTTGGTCCCTCTTAACTTCCCCTTCTTTTAACCCATACAAAAATTCTGATTCTACCCTCATTTCTATTCCACTGTTTTCTCAAATTCAATTAAAACTCAAGTTCCCTTCTGGCAGGAATTCCTGCCTCATTTCTTCACGGTTATACCCAATACTTCTAAAACAGCTCCTAAGACAAAGTAAGAGCTCAGCAAATACTAAAATGTTATCATGCGGCTGCAATCTGGAACATGCTGCCGCAAAAATTACTGCCTCCAATCCCGTTTGCAAAGAACAAGGCGATCCCTGGGCTTCCCCTCTCACCACTGAAATGTGCGGGCGCCCTTGCTCAAAGCTGACGCTCCCAAGCAACAACGTAAAGAGCCTGGGAGGTGCGACGAAAGCAGAGTCCTCCGCGCGAAAAGAGGAGGTCTACACGCCGACAAAACAACTCCTCCCGGGCCGAGAACAGCCGTACGCACACCTAACGCAAGACTCTGGCCTTCCGCCCTTTCTCCCGCCCTCACCTGAGGCTCTGGCCCGCACAGCCTCCAGGCAGGGAATCGCTTCCGGGTGCTGCCAGGACTCAAGGCTCGCGAGAAGGAAGAACCGGAAAGTCCTCTGCGTGCATCGTGAAAATGCAGCCGGCCGGTGCTACGGGAAACACGCCCCCTTAACTCGGTAGTTCCGGGAGCCTCTTTCCAGACGGGAGCAATATATCAACACTGCCTATCGGCGAGCTAACCTGATTTTAACTTTTTAATGAAATGAAATTACTGTATTTGAAGAGTTTCCGGGCTCCGCCCAGGACTCGGCAAGGTGAGCGAAACAAAGGGTAGCTGCGCCTCTGGAAAAAACTAGAAAGGTTCAAGCCTCCAAAAGCAAGAAGAAAAAAACAGTAGCAACAAATAAAACTAAACAGAAAAAGGAATGGGGAAAGAGCCGAAAGTGCAAAATTTAAGGGTCACCAAAAAAACGGGGGGGGGGGTATCAAAATAAATATTAGTGCAATATTTTTAAGTCAGAATTAAGGAACAAATCCGTGAATAACATATAATTTGTATTAAATACAGTATATGAGCCAAGTAGATTCCTAAAGCACCAGGAAAAACGTGCGCGCCTATGTACAAGTTGTTATGCATTTGAACATTTTTTTCCCCCAGAACATTACAATACTTGAAGAAATACTGAATATTTAAAAATTGGGTGTATTAAAACTCACAGCACTGTTTTAACATAAGTATTTTTTAATACCAAAAACAGAATTATAATTTTACCCTCCTACCTTGAATGGAAGTAAAACAATCGATAATATTTTCAAAAGCCTTTGATTACCTTATTTCCAATTGCAAGAATTTCCATCTCTGATAATTTTTCTCGAAGAAGTGGCATTCTTAATTAACTTAAGCTTACTGATCTTGACTTCCTTTAGAATTCATTGTGGATTTCATTAATTTTAATAATTTTAAAATGAGGCATTAGTCTTGAGTGCTGGGTTTCCCAGCCATCCCTTAAATTTTGTCTCGCGCCCGCTAATCCTGGCCTTGGTGAGAGAGGGGAAAGAAGGCTGACAGATTGTAGAATACAGGCTGGGGGGCGCCTCCCCAGGCCTCTCCATCATCTGGTCCTGTCACTGTCCAACTTCTAGAAAATGTACACCCATGTCATCCTAATCAGCAAATCTCCTCAGAACCCTACTTAAAACTCTTCAATAGCCCATTTTTGCCCTAAGAGGAAAAAATATCAACTATTTCATGTGATTTCCAACACATACCTTAACCCATTGTTAACAGTATGACTTCCTAGTTGGTATTTTCATGATGCTTACCTGTTTTATTTCCACCTTCAACATGTTTTGTCCTGGAAATATACCATGTTAATTGCCTTCAGGCCTTGCTCAGACATTAATCATCCTACATGCCTCCGTTTACTAGTGTAACTTGCTCTCTGATGATTTCATATTTAAAAATCCTACTTTTACTTGAGCTGTTGAGTCAAGTGAAAAAACAGATTCATCCTTTTCTTCAAAGCCAGTTTCCCTCTTTTAAGTGCCTTGTGTGTTTTAATGGTGCCACGATTCTGCCAGACCTGAATTTCAAATCACCTTTGAAACTTCTCCCTGATCACCCATATCTGCTAATCCACATCCAGTCACTTGGCCTTGAAAGTTCTTTATTAGGCCACAAATCACTCCCTCTTTCTTTCTGTTCACAGACACTTTGGAGAAAGAAATGTGAAAAAGTTTATTTTTTAAAAAAAAAGCAGAAAGCACCATGCAAATTGAAAGTCACATGCAAAACTTTATGAATAATATCTTAGTGGAGAATCTGGGCTAATCTGAATTCTCTCTCAGACAGGAATTCCCAATTCACATTCTCCTTTGTTGGCTGGAGAAAGTTGCAAGTGCTGTCTACTTTGACAAAATCATATTAAGATGTATGATATCATGGCAGAATGGAGTTAAAACATCTTCTGTTATCAAATAGATCCTCCTTCCCAACATGGCAGATACTTCAGCATTGTTTTGCTGTGTCTTCATCATCAGAAGTGTCCTTTCCTGTAATTTCAAAATTCTTTATGCAAATCATCCTTTCTTTGTTCTCCCAGTTCCCTTTCTTTACACCCTAAATCTTATCTTGAATTAAAATTTAAATGCCCATGAAGGTGCCTCCTCTTCCCCGTCGACTGTGAGCTCTTAGAGAACAGGGACCTTCTTGTGAATATCCAGTCAGCAGTTAGTCTTCAAACAAGAACAGACTACAGGCAAGAACAAATGAATAGAACACAGAAGGATACTCAAATAGGCCTGAAATTAGAAAACTTAAAAAAAATAATAATCTGGAAGAGTAGCTGAAAAAAATTTATTAAACACACTGCTTTTGCAAGAAATCTACAGTTTGCATTTTGATGAGGAATTCCTGAAACCTCTTCATGATGTACATAGACCTGCACCCACTCTTTAACATAATCGTAAGCTTTTTCTGTAGTTCATCCATGGACCCAGAAAGGAAGGACCTTCCCAATACTGAGAAGTGGTGAAAGCATCATGCCTTTAGTCAGCTACCATTACCACTGGTCTTAGTGGAATAATTCAGGGCTTTCATCCTTTGCAAAGCTAGCTGAGAAAGAGACAAGTCTACAGTATATGCCCAAGGCCACAAAGCTATCTTGTGGCCTTGCCTTTTTCTCTCCCCTAAATTAAAAGACAGTCTCAGCTGTAGGCATCAACTGGTAGAAACCATGGTTGGTAATGCTTTCTCACAGACAGGAAGCTTTGGACAATTCCAATGATGTACAAGAACACTTTTTATATGTTGTAATCAAGTTTTTGCTTTGCTTTTAAATCAGTTTTTCCTGGAGCCTCATAACTTAGAAAAAAAATTAAAGCACTTATTGCCTAACCTGATCACTAGTATCTATTTTACAGTGATTCAAATCTACTTTAGCAATACCCTATAATTAACCATGGCTACTTTTTGTTAAATTTTAAAAACATCAACCTAACAATTTTTACGCAATTCAAGATTGACATAATGGTTCATACAGAAATTTTTTAAACCTAATTGTTCAGGCCAAAATATTGACATTTATCTTTCAGTGTTCATCTTTCTACAGCTTTTAGATAAACAGCTTCTATGAATTGGTAAGACACATTGGTGGTTTAGTCACTCAGTCGTGTCAATTCTTTGCAATGCTATGGGCTGTTGCCTGCAAGGCTCCCCTCTCCATGGGGTTTTCCAGGCAAGAATACTGAAGTGGGTTGCCATTTCATTCTCCAGAGGAACTTCCCAACCCAGGGATCGAACTCTGGACTCCTGTATTGCAGGCAGTCTCCTGCATTGCAGGCGGATTCTTTACTGACTGAGTCACCAGGGAAGCCTCAGGAAAGGCCAGTAGTATTTCTTTAGAAGGTTTCTTTAATTCAAGATGTTCTGTTGGTACCTGATTGTCAGTGTTCATGTTTAAGAAACAGAACTTCATGACAAGATGGAGCTTCTCACTGAGGCCAGGGGTCAACTTCCAACTGAAATGGAAGAGATTAAACCCTGAGCCCAGAGAAGACCCAGTCCGTGTCACGTTCAGTGTCTATGCAGCTGCTTGATCTTCTGGTGACTTCTGCTACTGTGGAGCGCAGCAGAGAGAGAGAGGGAGGGAAACCAACAGTCTAGCATCAGATCCATTCAGGTGCTAGAGGAGGCTCTGAGGAACAACATAGAGAAGGGGTCACGGGCCCTAACAATAGTTGTCGGTGCCTTCCCTGGTGGCTTAGCTGGTAAAGAACCCGCCTGCAATGCAGGAACCCTGGGTTCAATCCCTGGGTTGGGAAGATCCCCTGGAGAAGAGAAAGGCTACCCACTCCAGTATTCTGGCCTGGAGAATTCCAAGGACTGTATAGTCCATGGGGTCACAGAAAGTTGGACACAACTGAGCGACTTTCACTTCAGATGAAGACAGACGTAGCCACAGAACTCGCGGCTATATATTGCTTGTGCTAAGTCACTCAGTCGTGTCCAACTCTTTGCAACCCCTTGGACTTCAGCTCACCTGACTCCTCTGTCCATGGAATTTTCCAGGCAAGAATACTGGAGTGGGTCGCCATTTCCTCCTCCAGGGCTCAAACATCCCAACCCAGGGATCAAACACTGGTCTCCTGTGTCTCCTGCATTGGCAGGTGGATTATTTACCACTGTGCCACCTGGGAAGTCCAATACATTGCATACTCTTAATAATATACCTGTTTATAAATCACAAAGTGTGGTTGACCTTGCACTGTTCTGCAAGGGACATGGCTGTTGTCCAGGAGGCAAGACATAAATTCAGTTTGAAAACCTAAATCAACTATATTCCAATGTTTTTAAAAAATAAATAAAAATAAAATACACAGTGTATACAGAAAAAAAAAACCTGAATAAAGACTTAATTTTTTAAAATGTCGATGGGCAGTACAGAGCACTGTACCTCATTTAATTGCAGGGAGGAAATTGCTACTCCAAAACACAAGAATGATGTGATGGTTTGTTCACTGATTTATTCCATTTTTAAAACTTAACTTGCTTTTAAAAATTAAGGGAAAAGAAGAAAATAAGGCAGCCAAAAAGCCTACAAGCCACAAACCACTACTACAAGGAGTAACGTCATTAAAAGATACAACTAGGCGTTCTCAAATGCCTTTGTGACCAACATGATTTTGTGTCATAACCTGGCCATTATTAGCTGTGAAGGCTATGAAACCGAGCCTTAAAATCAAGACCTGTTAGCCCTAGCCTACTGTGGTTTCCAACATGAATTTCTCATTCTTTGTCAGTTACATATTTACAAAGAAGAGTGCTTTACTCCTATTTGGCTTTGGACAAGTTTAAAAAAAGAACTTTATTTACAAACGTTCTATTCCTTTACATATATATATACAGAGCAAAGCATTTGGATAAAATAGGATAAAATCACAGGAAACAAAGCCAACTTTTGATAAAATCCAGTAGAAATTAGTAACACTCAGAAAAATCAAAACCAGTTTTAACAGTTACAAGAGAGTCAAAGCAAATAAGTTGAGGAAAACAAACCACATCAGATTTCCCTCAAACCCTCTAGCCAGTATTTTTGTTACGTAAGTTAATGGCCAGTTCATAAATTTCAAGTCACATAGTGAAGCCACTTACTTTGTAAAAACAGTAGCAGAGAAAGGGATTGTCTCCATTCAGAGAATACAGTAGGAAAACCACTCGCTCAAAGCGACTGAGAATTTTTTGAGGAATAAAATCATCTAGCCTGCAAAGTGTTGTTGAAATCCAGGCATACTTTCTTATAAAATACTACCTCAACTCAAAATTGACTTTCTTTCTGTGTGCCAGGAGAGTCCCTGGGACCCTTGGTGGGTAGGCAGCCTTGCAGTCCACAGGCTGCAGGGGCTGGGGGGCGTGGGGGGTGGCTGCTCCCAGTTCAGAGGCCCATGCTTTCCCGCTGCGCATCAGCAAACCTGAGAAGTCAGAGTTGTTGACAGGCGGTGTTAGGAACGTAACGGGAGGAGACATGGCTGCTAATGGTAGCACCAGCCACCAGTACTGCTAGGAAGCCTTGGCAGCTGTAGGATATCGGCTGAAAATGCTAAACTAGGCTGGCTCTTGAAATCTTCAGCCTCCTGAGCCTGTTAGTTCCTCCCTTTATGAGAAAAGGTTGGCACAGCCGGTATCTATTTTGGGGATAAAGGGTAAGTTGATGGGAGAGACGTTCTTATGGGGAAGACTGCCTCGAGGTGAAGCTTCAAGACTTGGCACTCTTTCCTCCTACCAGACGTTTGGTGCTACTTGACCCGGTGGGGGTCTCAGAGACCCCGGGGACACTGTGGCCATCCTTGGGGGACTGGGCCTGCTGGGCTTCTTTCAGTTCCCTGACAATGAAAAAGGAAAAGTGTACATTCCTGGTCCTAAATTAGAGATGATATTTATGATCAAAACCAGCAGAGATTTTTCTTTTTATTTCAGTATTTATAGAAACAAGCATGAATGAGGCACAGAATAGAAAATTAACTCCTATGATTATCTTTAGAAATGGCCAGTACGCACGTGCCTCAACACATTGCAAGTTTGCCTTCCTGAATTCTACTCACTGGGGCATAAATAATCTTTAAAATTAAAGAGAAATAAGGAGACAACTCTACAGGGGTCAGCAAAGGACGGCCCATGGGTCAAATCTGGCCTGCCACCTGTTTTTGTAAATAAAGTCTTACGGGAATTCAGCCAGTGCCATTCATTTTTGTATGGTCTCTGATCACTTTCACATCACTCCAGCAGAGTTGAGTCATTGCAGCTAAGACCATATGGCCCACAAAGGATAAAATACTACCCTGGTCTTACAGAAAGGTGTGCCAGCCCCTGGTCTAGACAATTTCAAGAAGACGTCTGCCTCATCTCCATGATGAGTGCTCACTACTGGTAATGACCGATTACACACACCTGTATGTCGACAACTGGCTTCACAGATATACACACCACACCTTAAGGATACTTATAGTCCTGTGACAGCATATATATTTGTATTTTATGTTAGCAGAAATAGAGCAAAAAAAATATTAGGATTATTAGGAAGTTGCTTACAAGGAAGGATTACTTGGCTAATGTCTTCATAGAGTTTACACAACTCATTGCCGAGAAATTATTTGGGGGGACTTTTCAAGCTAATCATTCTAAGATGGACTGTGTATCCAAAAGAAATTGGACTTAAGTATATTTTAGATAGTGGAAGTGACAGAGTCAAGGGATTAGATCTGATAGTGCCTGAAGAACTATGGATGGAGGTTCCTGACATTGTGCAGGAGGCAGTGATCAAGACCATCCCCAGAAAAAGAAATGCAAAAAGGCAAAATGGTTGTCTAAGGAGGCCTTACAAATAGCTGTGAGAAGAAGAGAAGCTAAAGGCAAAGGAGAAAAGGAAAGATATAGCCATTTGAATACAGAGTTCCAAAGAATAGCAAGGAGAGATAAGAAAGCCTTCCTCGGTGATCAATGCAAAGAAATAGAGGAAAACAACAGAATGAGAAAGACTAGAGATAACTTCAAGAAAATTAGAGATACCAAGGGAACATTTCATGCAAAGATGGGTTTGATAAAGGACAGAAATGGTATGGTCCTAACAGAAGCAGAAGATATTAAGAAGAGGTGGCAAGAATACACAGAAGAACTGTACAAGAAAGATCTTCATGGCCTAGATAATCACAATCATGTGATCACTCACCTAGAGCCAGACATCCTAGGATGCAAACTCAAGTGGGCCTTAGAAAGCATCATTATGAACAAAACTGGTAGAGGTGATGGAATTCCAGTTGAGCTATTTCAAATCCTAAAAGATGATGCTGTGAAAGTGCTGCACTCAGTATGCAAGCAAATTTGGAAAACTCAGCAGGGGCCACATGACTGGAAAGGGTCAGTTTTCATTCCAATCCCAAAGAAAGGCAATGGCAAAGAATGCTCAAACTATAGCACAATTGCACTCATCTCACATGCTAGCAAAGTAATGCTCACAATTCTCCAAGCCAGCTTCAATAGTACATGAACTGTGAACTTCCAGATGTTCAAGCTGAATTAGGAACCAGAGATCAAATTGCCAACATCCGTTGGATTATCAAAAAAGCAAGAGAGTTCCGGAAAAATATCTACTTCTGCTTTATTGACTATGCCAACACCTTTGACTGTGTGGCTCACAATAAACTGGAAAATTCTTCAAGAGTTGGGAATACCAGACCATCTAACCTGGCTCCTGAGAAATCTGTATGCTGGTCAGGAAGCAGCAGTTAGAACTGGACATGGAACAACAGACTGGTTCCAAATCAGGAAAGAAGTACATCAAGGCTGTATATTGTCACCCTGCTTATTTAACTTATATGCAGAGTACATCATGTGAAATGCTAGACTGGATGAAGCACAAGCTGGAATCAAGATTTCTGGGAGATACATCAATAACCTCAGACATGCATATGACACCACACTTATGGCAGAAAGCAAAGAAGAACTAAAGAGCCTCTTGATGAAAGTGAAAGAGGAGAGTGAAAAAGTTGGCTTAAAGATCAACATTCAGAAAACTAAGATCATGGTATCCAGTCCTATCACTTCATGGCAAATAGATGGGGAAAGAATGGAAACAGTGGCAGACTTTATTTTTGGGGACTCCAAAATCACTCCTGATCGTGAGTGCAGCCATGAAATTAAAAAGCACTTGCTCCTAGAAAGAAAAGTTATGACCAACCTAGACAGCATATTAAAAAGCAGAGACGTTACTTTTCCAACAAAGGTCCGTCTAGTCAAAGCTATAGTTTTTCCAATAGTCATGTGTGGATGTGAGAGTTGGACTATAAAGAAAGCTGAGCCCTGAAGAATTGATGCTTTTGAACTGTGGTGTTTGAGGAGACTCTTGAGAGTCCCTTGGATTGCAAGGAGATCCAACCTGTCCATCCCAAAGGAAATCAGTCTCGAGTATTCATTGGAAGGACCGATGCTAAAGCCAAAACTGCAATACTTTGGCCACATGATGCGAAGAACTGACTCATTGGAAAAGACCCTGATGCTGGATCTTTTCATCTCCTTTTATATTTTCAACAATTCACTGGGTGTAAAAGTTACTTTAAAATGCCTTCAGTATCCTGCTCAACCATCACTGCCTGACCTTTATAATACCAGGTCCATGCTATCTAATTAATTCCTACTTGTTAGATGAAGGAATAGATTAATAAATGCATGCATGAATACAAGCTTACATGCATAAGAAGTAGGATTGCTTCCTTAGGCTTAGAAAAATACCTCTTTCTTAAACATGGGCCAAAACAGAATTTTTTTTCTGTTTTTTTTAATTTATTTATTTTTACTTGAAGGATAATTGCTCCACAATATTGCATTGGCTTCTGCCATACATTAACATGAATCAGCCATAGGCTCTGTAACAATCAAGACAGAATATCTGCCTGCCCCATGATTTAATGGACTTCTAATAGGTCTCTTCCCACCTTAGTTATGGTTATCTTACTTTGGATAGTCATTCACCAGTTACCTGAATACTGTTGTCACTTAGAATCCTAATTTTTCTTTACCAGTTGTATTTCCTTGCATTCATTTGCATTAACTGGAATTGTCTGTCTCAAGCTGTCTACTCACAGAGCATCCAGCCCCTTGTTACACAGGGCCACTCTTTGTGGGCAGGAGCGTCACAGTCATAATGTTGGATTCCACTTGAATCCATAAAGAAGACACACCAGACCAGTTGTGTCACTGTGAGTACCACAGAAATAGGTTCTTCCTCAACTCCAGCATCCAAAAATCTACCTTTCCAGTGTGGCTGTCTTGAACTTTTCCAAGTTCAACTGGTGCTGAAGCTCTTCTGTTTTCCCCAGGGAGGGACAGAGGACTCGACTCTTGGCCAGAGCTGCTGCAGACGGTCTCTCTGCTGGATCAGGGTGGATCATGCTCTGATGAGGTGGGTCCAAAAGGAAGGAAACAGAAGCTTCACTCTTGGGAAAATCTCCCCACCCAACAAACTCCAACCCAGCTTCTGCTGGTGGGTTTTTTGAAACTCAATTTTCCTTTGTGCAAAGGGAAGAAATAAATGAAAACTTAGCTCCACCCAGGACAGAAATATCATACTTACGTGATAGCATCCATCATCCATACCTTTGACTTTCTCAAGTATCATCTTTTAAAGCTGATTGAATGATGAACTAGTCTAATGCCTTAATTTTCAACAGAGGAAACTGAGGTCCTGAGATAAAGTGGCTTGTTCAAGTTATTGACAGGACCAAGACTAAAACCTGGGTCACTGAACTGCTAGTTCAGCTCACTACAACCTTCATGTGTCCATTTTTCACTTAAAACTAATTAAGGATATCCCACCATGACAGTACTCCTACAGCCTTTGTCTTCAGAGGAGATCTGTAGCCTAAGATGACTGGAATACAGTAGAAAATACCTAATTATATACAGCCATTCATGTCAAATAATGAAGAAAACACTGACCCTTCCATTTGAGGAGCAATGTTCAGAGTCCGCTCCACTACTTAGCATGTAGCCCTGAGCAGGTCACAAAACTTTGCTGAAACTGTCTTCCTTTACTGGCATTTGGAATAGCAATAGTCACCTTCTGGACTGTTGTGAGAATTAAATGAATTAGCATATACTTAGTCGTGTCCGACTCTGTGCGACCCCATAGACGGCAGCCCACCAGGCTCCCCCGTCCCTGGGATTCTCCAGGCAAGAACACTGGAGCGGGTTGCCATTTCCTTCTCCAATGCAGGAAAGTGAAAAGTGAAAGTGAAGTCGCTCAGTCATGTCTGACCCTTAGCGACCCCATGGACTGCAGCCCACCAGGCTCCTCCGTCCGTGGGATTTTCCAGACAAGAGTACTGGAGTGGGGTGCCATTGCCTTGTCCACCTCAGTAAGTATAAGTATCAACTAACTCTAAGAGCGATTTACACATAGAAATAGGTGGACATCTGTTTGCCATTACATTAAAAAAAAAAGAGACATTTCCATCTTCTCTTCAGTTCACAAGAGACAGCACCTTGAGTAGTTGGTGGAATTCCTTGGAGAGCTCCTGAGGAAGATCTGGAAGGTTCCCCTCACGAATGTGATGCCACTTGGTGCCGTTGGCGGGCAACGACTCTGCTCCCGCAGCCACTGCGATGGTCAACCCCAAGGCAAATATGTCTGCTTTGGGGAGGTGCTGATAATTCTTCAGAACAGAAGATAGGAAGGCTGGTTAGTTTGCCAAGAGAAGCAAGTCTAGACTAAAACACAACTGGCAAGAGAGAGTTGCTTGAACGCACATGTGGGGACACAGTGGGGAGGTCGCATCTGCTGTGATTAGTAGTCTCTCTGGGGAAGACAGAGGACGGGCATCAATCCACCTGAGTAACACTGCCCTGGTCCTGGGAACCCAAAGCTGATGCTCTGTAATGACCTAGACGGGTGGGATGGAGAAGGAGGTGGGAGGACATATGTATACCCATGGCCGATTCATGTTGACGATGGCGGAAACCATCACAATATTGTACAGTAATTATCCTCCAATTAAAAATTAAATAAAATTTAAATATATATATATATACTGCCCTGAAGAGTCAGAGGCAGAATCTTAGTACTCTTTTGCTCTCTCAGGCTCAAAGAGGCTTGAAACTTAGATTGACTGATCATAGAGAGGAAAGACTCTTCTTTTCTTCCCCCAACTAGTGGCATTATAAATGTTGGGTTGGACCAATAAAGGCTTCCTTCCTGCTAGGAAATTCATAATGCTAAGAATTCTAAAAAATATTAGAAATAGCAAAGGACCTTTACAAAAAAACAGTAAAAATGTTGATTAGTCCATTGATTGAGCCACCCTCTTTGCAAACATTTCAATGGACTATTAAAAACCCTTTGTTCCCCAAATCTATACCTCTTGCAAAATCTCATTAGCCAGGAAGCGACTGTCCCCCTCTTCCACTTTGGGATTGCTTATTGATGCTACATGACCCAAGTCACCTAAGAAAAGAAAAAGGAAGTTGAGTTCTTTCAAAGCAGGTTTTCCTTAAAACTGGAATAAATGGATTAGAGTCATCAGCATACATTTTGTAGGATTAGAGTATACCAATCAAGTTACAAAACAGACTCACCAATTTTATACATCACATCAGCAGAGAGAAACCAATCAGCTTCATTTTCAACCTCTTCCAGGACCACAGGAGAGTCACTTTGCATCTTATGACAAATGAAGATGTTACCTGAAAAGAAATACAGAACTGTCGTAAGGAATGATACCTAGACCTTTTCACCTCGGAGATTCTTTTCTATAAATGACATTTCAGTCACCCTCCTCTTCTGTATGCAGGTAACAAGACTACCAAGGTTTCTTTTCTTCCATGGAATCTCTCACACTACTTCCAAACAGCTCAGTGATTGACAATACCTATTTCAGTGGAACTTAAACCTCAAACCTCTTTGAAGAGGCTGGCGACCTCAATACAAAGAAATAATCAACAACACAGGATAGTAACAACATTTCCTTGCATTTCACATGAATGAATGCTTTAACTAGGCATTTCTGCTCAGTTTGATCTGTGCCAAGTTAGAAAGATTACCACTAGTTGTAAATCGTCAGGATGCAGTCTCTTATCTATGCGGTAAAATCAATACTTATTTTCATAGTTGGGCTTCACTATCTGGGGTCTTTTCTTTCCATCCTCTAGGCCCAATGGGAAAGCAGTTGAAGCTGTTTAACTGGAATGTGGGCCTGGGGAGAGGGACATGGAACCAATGAAAAGGATTCTGCCAGCTAACAGCATCTTTGACAGTCAAGCAGGTACAGATTCTGACAACAAAGGGGAAGGAATTAAACACGGCCAGAGGAGCAGACAGCTGTACTGACTGGGCTTCATGTCCAGGTGCACCATGCCGGAGTTGTGGATGTATCTGAGCCCAAGGGAAATCTGCAGAAGGATGTCCTTGAGTCTGGGCTCTGGGAAATGATTGCCAGACTTTGCGTTTTCAGTTATTGCAGCCTGCAAGCTCCCACCTAGGAAAAAACAACAGAATAGCCCCACCGAATGAGAGGAAAAGGTATGACTCTTATATGTGAAAGCCTAGTATGTATTCAATACATTGCTCATGAATGAACTCAGTCAAACAAGTCTAAACTGCTTCAGTGTCGGCGTGAAACATAGTATCAGCTCCCTGTCTATACCACAATCATACTGGAAAGAATAATTAAGGGCCTTTAAAGAGGAAAAGAAAATGCCGTATCCTAGGTAGCCAATATGTGGCTCCATTGCCTTGAGTATGCCCCCAACTAACATTTAAAAAGCTTCACCTTGTTATCAACAGAAGATCAGTCAGGCCTAGTCAGTCAGCTACTGTGGTGTCGATGAATAATTCCATGTTGGTGTCAAGCTAGTGATTATAGGCCATTAGTAACTTTAATGTAATTGATTTCAAGTTTCCTTCCATTAAAATATATATCTCAAAATAAGAACATTTAATGATGGCTGACCCAAAGAAAATATAAAACCTCCATGTACACCTAAACCCTCTTTGAGCCAATGTGTTTGTATATCAACTCTATCACTGTTGTCAATAAAAAGATAAGCCCTGAGCTCATCTGACTACCTGACCTCAGATGCCCTGCCCTAGGTATTAGAATGCTTCTGAACCTTTTGATTCATTAATGAGCATTTGTCTGTAGCCTCCACAGTCAAGTTAGAGAATTCTGGGACCCCTGTCAGTTACAAGGCCTGTAAATCCCCACTTCAGGTGTGTATCAGAACAGTAGGGTCTGAGATGGTAACTGTACTTTTAAAGAAATCCATATTTAAAACTCTCTTATGTAAAACTGAATGTAAAGGTTGAACTTCCACATTCAAATAAATTCAGAAAGGAGAATTCAGCCCCTTTCAGAGACAAAAAAACAAAAACAAAAAAAAGGGCTAAAGGAGACGGGTTTTGTTTTTCCCTGGGAAACTTCTTAGGAAAGAATTTATGAACTGTAGATGCCATTAGAAAGGAAAAATAAGTAAAGAGTGCATTGGGGTTATTATAAACAAAGCCACCTTGAGGCTAAGTTTGCAGATGAGTTTATGAGATGTGACGGAGGAAAAGGGAGGTTGCATCAAGGCTCCTGGGTCTCCACTAGCCTGGCTGTTCTTTTAGGATGGGCCCGCAGCTCTTTCATCCTTCCTGTCCCATGGTCTGGCATGTAATCATTATTTTCTGAACCAAATGTCTATCCTGGCAACAGAGGGAAAAGACTGAGTGAATGCCCCTATGCAATGTATGGAAAGAAATAAGCATCCTAGGTTACTTAGCATTCCTTTAATATGTTCCTTTAGATTAGAAGCAGAGAGATCTCTAATCCCCTGAGGAACGATGGGTATTTAGTAAGGGGAACTAGACTAGTGATAGCAACACTTTCAGTTACTTAGAATCTCTAGAGGTAGTGTTAAAGTTAGCCAAGTGATAAAACAGTAGAAGAGAAGTTACTGAAAAGTACTTTCATATGACGGTATTAGAATATCCTTATTTTGCTAGAGCTAAAACTGATTGTCCACACACTCTTATAGAACAGCATAATGAACTGTTCTTTACTAAAGAATATTAACAAGAAGTATCCATTGACAGGGGGCTTCCCCAGTGACTCAGATGGTAAAGAATCTGCCTGCCATACAGAAGACCCGAGTTAGATCCCTGGATCAGGAAGATCCCCTGGAGAAAGGAATGGCTACCCACCCCAGTATTCTTGCCTGGAGAATTCCATGTACAGAGGAACCTGGTGGGCTACAGTCTATGGGGTCGCAAAGAGTCAGACATGACTGAGTGACTAACACGTTTCACTTCACTTTCATGCATTTACAGAGAGCAGTCCTGAGTGAACTGTAAACTTCATCCCTCCTAGTCTCACCTGGGTGCACTGACAAGCCTTAGTTCCATAACCCGAGGTAGCCCCTGGCATTGGCTCCGTGCCTTAGGAGGTGCCCTAGGAGCAATACGGCCAGCTCCCGGGCAGTTCTTTTCAAACCATCTTTGTGAGATGAGTTGCTGAATTCCTTCCCTTAAATAAATGTACTTGCCCAACTTGGTAGGAGAAAAGATACTTCAGAAAATATATCCTTGTTTTCCTGTCTGCTCATAAGACCTAACAGATGCCAAAACAAAGAAATAGCAAATACCTTCTGACAGTGAAATGCAAAAAGCAGGCCAACAGTTCAACAGCACATCTTATTTATACATTTGCATTCTCACTATGTTACTTTGCTGCCAACGACACAAGCCTACTTTTCTGCTGGTAAAATTGTCCCTTATCTGGTAGGAAAATATAACCTGTATTCATGGTGTTCCAACTTCTGGAAGTCACATCACTTGAGCAAATGTGAGAACCAGTATTCTAGGGGGATCATGTTCTGTAAAACTTCTATTCCAGAAGACATCACAAGAAAACACCGCGTTTAGGGAGAGATTGGGCTTCCCAGGTGGTACTAGTGGTAAAGAACCTGCCTGCCAAAGCAGGAGATGTAAGACACATGGGTTTGATCCCTGAATCAGGAAGATCCCCTGGAGGAAGGCATGGCAACCCACTCCAGTGTTCTTGCCTGGAGAATCCCATGGGCAAAGGAGCCTCTGGGACTACAGTCTACAGGGTCACAAGGAGTCGGGGATGACTGAAGCAACTGAGCACCCACATGCAGGGAGAGAGTAATTATCCAGCCCTGAGCCGGTCAGAATCCTGGTTGTTGCAGAATCAGCCAGCTACTGGAGACCTCTGATTTCTGAGGCTGGCCCAGAGGTGACCTTCTCGGGGACCTTGGCTAGGGTGGCAGAGAGGGCAGAAACTTGTGATGGTTCAGGGTTTACAGGGGACAGGAGGGAAATCAGATGACTGTTAGTCTCTCATAGTTAAAATCTACGTTATCTACATCATCTGATTTATAATTGAAGTTAAAACCGTAACCATGCATGTTCCAGCCTGACTGCTATGAGAGGCTGGGTAGAGGGGTTTGGGCAGATATGGGTGGCTAAGGGTGGGTATGCGGAAACAGGGCATAGGATGAGAGGTGAGACAGAGTGGGAGAGGGAGGATGTAGGAGCAGAAGGAAAGAAGCACCGGCTACCTAACACATACTCTGGATTTCTTGTCCTTTACTTAGACCCACTCCAATATTCCTGCCTGGAGAATCCCACGGACAGAGGAGCCTAGCAGTCCATGGGGTCACAAGAGTGCGACACCATTTAGCAACTAAACAACCACCACCACCACCACCAGGAAAAGTCTCAACATGGATTATCCTCAACAACAAACAAGATTTGCGTGCATGCGAAGTCACTCCGGTCGTGTCCAACTCTGTGCGACCCTATGCACTGCAGCCAGCCAGGCTTCTCTGTCCATGGGATTCTCCAGGCAAGACTACTGGAGTGGGTTGCTGAGCCTTCCTTCAGAGGGCCTTCCCAACCTAGGGATCAAACTTGAGTCTCTTACATCTACCTTCATTGGCCTGCGGGTCCTTTACCACTAGCACCACCAGGGAAGCCCCACGAAAGGGCATGCTTTATTTTCCATCATCAGTTCACATTTGAAAGGTTCAATGTATGTGAATTACATCTTGCTAAATCACAGTTACATTTGAGTTGGCAAGTATTGAATAAAGTTAGTTGAAGCACCACGATGAACAAATACTAATTTCCCATAATATCTTATATCTAGTCCACACTCACTGCCTGGCTTTCAACGCCCACTACAGGCTTCCCACACTTCACTCTGCTGGTCTGATTTCCTCCTACAGGGGTCACCTTAGTCCTGTTTAGTCTCCTTTGTATTTACTAGACAAGACACATGCCCAGTACCATGCTTCTAGCCTGTAGGCTGGGCTTCCCTCTGCTTCCATAAACTCAAGAAATCCTTCTGCAAGGTCCCGTTCAAGTCTTAGCTCCTTCGTGAGACTTTCTCAGGCTATGCTAATAACAAGTATTACCATGTTCTTACTATGTATTGGGACTTAATGATGTGCTAGCATTTGACATACACTGTTGCTAATTCTCAAATGACTCCTAAGTAAATATTAGTCTCTTTACTCAATGAGATTAAATGATGTCTCAGTGATCCTGAGAGAAGTGAAGTGAAGTGAAAGTCACTCAGTCATGTCTGACTCTTTGCGACCCCATGGACTGCACAGTGCATAGAATTCTCCAGGCCAGAATACTGAAGTGGGTAGCCTTTCCCTTCTCCAGGGGATCTTCCCAACCCAGGGATTGAACCCAGGTCTCCCACATTGCAGGCAGATTCTTTACCAGCTAAGCCACAAGGGAAGCCCAAAAATACTGGGGTAGGTAGCCTACCCCTTCTCCAGGAGATCTTCCCCACCCAGGAATCAAACTGGGGTCTCCTGCATTACAGGCCAACTTTACCAACTGAGCTATGTGACAGAGCTGGGTTTTGAACTCCAGTCTGCCGACTTTAAAGCCCAGGCCCATCCCACCACACCCAGCTACCTTTGCTCACATTCACCCTCTCTGGCCATTTTGTGTGCTGACTATAAGAGAGCAAATGGAATAAAGCTTCTGGAAGGTAAGGACTTACCTCACTCTACAGGATTTTGTACCCAAGAGCTTAATACAGTGTCAAGCCCGTAGAAGACATTCAAATGTTGAAAAGAATGAGATGATTTTGTAATAGATTGCTTCATCTTATTCTTTTTGAAAATTTGCAAATTTTACATTGCCCCAGTTAAAATTTTACATTGCCCACAGGTTAAAATTAGTTTTGCTTTATTGACTGATTTTTAAATTTGATATTATCTTTGTTAATAGGTAAATGTTATGGAAATAAAATCAATCTTATCTATAGAGAGAGGGAAGAAAAAAAGAATAGGGACTCTCAGGTTATGATAAGAGGAAATTAAGAGAAGATGATTTAAAAAAAAGGTCTCAACTACTCAATCACAAGTATAAGGAAAGGGTCCATTTTGTTTTAACCCAAAGAAACTATTAGAAAAAGGGATTTGGGGTGAGCTTATTAAAGAAAAAAAACTCATGAAGTTTACACGTAAGGCTATGAGAAAAGCAGGCTATAAGGAAATAACAAGGAAGATGCCAAGTTACTATTTCGTAGAATATGTATACCACTGTCTATGCTTCTAGCATCTCATAATTCTATTTACTTACCTACATGTCAAAGTAAGCATGTATACAGTGTTGAAGCTTTATCACTAATCACTATACTCAAAAGCCAGGCTATCTGGTGGTAACTAAACTTACCCAAAGACAGACTGCACCATTAAAACAAAAACTCAGGGTAGGTGTATATGTTGGGGGGATGCCATTATCCATTACTACTGGGGCTAAAATATGGATTGCAAAATGTGGCTGCATCCTAAAATGATGACAAGCTTCTATCCAATTGGTAGCACTTTCCTACTATACCACTAAACATTTTAATGAAAATGTATTTCCAAGAATAACAACACATAACTGCTATTATGCAACCCCTTAATCATAGACAAGAACTATTAAATCATGGATTAGAAATATGTTAATCCAAAGGACCACTCTTTGTGATTTAAGTAGTCCAGAAAAAGTTTTACTGGTCACTGTGTATACATAGTCCCGAAGGACATAGGAGGATGTATCTGAAGTCACTAGATTTCAGTCCTAGCACTCCACCCCCATGCCCCTACTCTTGAGAGAACACTTAAAGCTCAAAGGTAAGAAGCAGCTAGAAACATGAACAATCCCCAAACACAGGAATCCACTTCAAAATTAATCAAAAGTTAGCTATATAAGTCTACCACTTCCTCCTCCATATAGTAGAGACTATGGTTTACATCTTTTAAAGCACTTAGTAAATGGTAAAAAGATGGTTTACCATTCAAACCACTAGTGTAAAAGTTTTCTAAGTATTAATTAAAGTGAGAAGGATGTGATAGCTCCTATGTACCAACTACACATCAGCTTTGAAAGAAACACCTAATGGCATAAGCCTGAAGTTCCTTTCCAGCTCAACTCATTTCCTCCAGCTCTCTTGCTTCCAAGCAAAACAGCAGTACAGACTTTTAGGTATGATTTGCTATACCTGCTATCAAGTACAAGAAGGAAGCAAAGATTTTTTTCCAAAGACTTAAAAGCTAATCCTCCCTCTCCATAGATATGAGCCCACATACCTACCATTGCAGTATTCATTTTGAATGATCATGTAGTCGTCTTCTGCCCACGCAGAGTAGTAACGAACCACATGGGGGTGGTGTCCCAGCACTGCATGGGCATAAACTTCATGCATAGCCAGATTCCTAAGAGATGGAAAAGCATTCAGGAAACTGAAAATAATACACATACAAATTTTTTAAAGACGAGATATGAGGCATTATTCACAATGGCAGAACATTTATTGAATGCTCACTGCTTGTTTACTTACTATCTTATCACATTTAATGTTTGTAACTCCTCTATATGATACAGTGACACGGATGAAGCCTTTAAAAAGTTAAGTGGTTGGCCCAAAGTCAAGCTGGTGATCATATATCTAAGACCAGAACCTTGGCTGTCCTGGGCCCAAGTCCATGGTTTTTTGATTGAACAGGATATATGTAGAGAGGAATCTTAGGTGTCCATTACCTCAGAAGAAGGCTTGTTTAGATTCTAATTTTCACAATCTAAAAACCCTGATGGGCTTAACAAGAAATGGACTTGATTGTGGATACTGTGATGGGCCCACTACCATCCCTATGAAAGCTAGACAGTTGCTATGTGTGTGGTCAGTCGCTCGGTCGTGTACGACTCTGCAGCCCCGCCAGGCTCCTGTGTCCATGGTATTTTCCAGGCAAGATTACTGGAGTGGGTTGCCATTTCCTACTCCAGGGGATCTGCCAGACCCAGGGATCGAAACCGGGTCTCCCGTTTCTCCTGAATTGCAGGCAGATTCTTTACCCACTGAGCCGACAGAGAAGCCTTTACAGTCAATGCTAAACTCTGCTGGTAAGATGTAGTCACAGGGACAGTCCCGAGGACAGATATCCATCATGGAATAGGAAAATCCAACACAAAAAAAAGATGCAAAATATGGTGCTTGATTGATTTCAGTATATAAATGAAGAATTCCAAAGACTAATTTCAGATTCAGCATTTTAGTGTTATATTTCCCAGCATTCACAAAAAGCAATGGCTAAATCTGAAAATATTTGTTTTCCTTGTGAAAAGGAAGAACTTTTGAACAATTAGTTCTAGGAAGGAAATTTAAATTTTTGTCCGTGTTTCCTGGCTTAGAGTTTTTCAAACTTGACTATTGAATTTATTATTAATACAAAGTAGAGATAACCAGTGAGTTAACAATAACTTGGTAGTATTTCTGATGAACTAAACAGATGCCAGAAGATCCTTTCCTAAATCAATTCACTGAATAAAAAAAAAAAAAGTAGTAAGACCAGTAGTAAAAGCCATGAGAAATTTTTAAAAAAAAATCCAAACACGCAACACAATTCCAAATGCTCATGGTATGTTTCAGGAAATAACTTATCTCTGATCTTGAAAATTCAGAAAGGTTACAAATGTGAGACAGCTTTCAGTGGTAAGGTTGACTTTTAAAAGTAGCAAATGACATCAGCGCTCTTATTTAAAATGTTTTGACAAATCCAAGTGTATATTTCTAGTACATTTTAAAAGGTACTCACTCATCTGATAATCCTCCCAAAGGTTTCGTGGAGCGTTTTATTGCATAAACGCATCCATCCAGCCTCTTAATGCACTTGTAGACTGTACCAAAGTCTCCAACACCAATTTTTTCTACCTCCAAGAATTCTTTTTCATAGCGGGAAGCCATGTTGGTTTCTCGTAAAACACACCTCTGAAATATTTTAGCAAAAAAAGTGAAATATTTTAGAATAAAATTTAGGCATATTATATCCCTCAATTTCCCTAAGTTTCCAAAAAGACTTTTGAGGCAAATCCATTGGATTCTGTCTGTGTCGATGTTCATGGTGGCAAGACCCAGCCCTCTCCCACCGCCCTGCCACAGCTGCTGACTACCTCCTCTGCGCTCCTTAGAGCCTTCCATACAGCTCTGCACCAACATTTCTCTTGGCTCACTTCTTGAATCTAACTCTGTATTATTTCCTCTGTCTGGGCATACTCTTCTTCCCTGTGTTTGTCCCTAGAGGCAAGAGGGCACGCATAGCCAGAGCCACCGTCCTCAGCGGAAAGGAGTGGTGGGCTCTTGGAGGAGGATGCCAGACAAACAGAAGCTCTCTTTGACTCTTGTTTACTTGTCTCACACTCTGGCTGCTAATGTTTCATCTTAAGCGCAATAAACATACTTTTTAGTTTGCTTCCCACAAAACCTTAGTCAAGAGAACAAAACTGTCGAATTGATTTATTTCAGAATGTGTGCTGAGTTACGGCAACCGCTCCCCCTACTGGCCAACCGTGACATCACTCATTGCTCCGCTAAGTAAGGAACTGAAGCAAGTCACTCAACTCCTGTATCCGTTTTCTCATTTATCAGATGAGGATCAGAGCAACTATGCCTCGGGGTCCTTTCAAATACTGCGTGAGAATTACATATATTACAAATACATATAAATTCTCAATACACAGTAGCTCTGATGACAGAAATATCCATAGATTTATAAGAATCTCAGTCCAAACTGATTCATCTCTGTGAAATCACCTTTTCCCAGTATCTCCATTAGCAAGAACTTTTTCCCTCTAACTTTAAATGTTTAAAAAATCTTAACTCTTACCAGCTCTTCATTTTCAACATCCAGGCCCAATCAGTCTTCATAACAAGATCTATAATTTCCCTTGCCCTTACCAGTCTCACGGAGAAGGCAATAGTACTTCAGTGACAATCCCACTCCAGTACTCTTGCCTGGAGAATTCCATGGATGGAGGAGCCTGGTAGGCTGCGGTCCATGGGGTCCCTGAGTCGGACATGACTGAGCGACTTCACTTTCACTTTTCACTTTCATGCCTTGGAGAAGGAAATGGCAACCCACTCCAGTGTTATTGCCTGGAGAATCCCAGGGACAGGGGAGCCTGGTGGGCTGCCGTCTATGGGGTCTCACGGAGTCAGACACGACTGAAGCGACTTGGCAGCAGCAGCAATACCAGTCTTAAGCTCATGCGAGAGCTTGCTCCACCTCTGGACTTGCTCCAGCTGCCAGCCCTTTCTCTGTCTCCTCTATCAGTAAAATTATTTTTGTGAAATGATGCCATAGAAAGAGACAGACCTAATTGTTTCCCATGAGGAATCCTCACCTCTGATCAGAGGCCTGGAGGCTCTGCTAGTGCTTACCTGCTCCCTTATATCCTCCATCTCAGACACCAAGTAGCAGCTTACTATCCATATCACCCTTCCCCGTCCTCCCCACTGCCCTGTACGGACACTGAACATTATACTGTCATGAAAACTTGCCTACGTCCAACATGCCACCTTGATGGCAATTTAATATTCTACTGATTTTATGCTCTAATTTAATTGACCATTCTTCTATTATTGGATATTTGGTACTCCCCCTATTTTTTTTTCTTTTTCTGCTCTTATAATTAAGGCTGCAACAAACATCTCTGGTGGTAATATTTACAGCATTATTTTCTTAGTTTTGATTATTAAATGAGGGATAATAGATCAAAGATTGTGAACATTATAAAATCAATAGATACTGACACATTTAAGAACTAAAATTTTTACACATAAACCTCTGGCTTCATGCTATTTTTCTGCTTTTTTTTTCTTTTTGGACCTTAAATATCTTGATGTTCCCTTTACTTCTGCTTCCCAGGAATACAGAACTTTTCCCCAGATCAAAGACAGAAGCAGTAGCCTTGAATTTAAGAATAGTCCAAGGTAATGATTCAGCAGTATAGATGTCAGACACTGTCTGATAAAGTAACAACTAGCTAAGAATATAGACCTTGATTACAGTCCAGATAAATTCAGCTGCAAAACATATTTACTACAAGTGTCAAGGATTGGGAAGGGAGGGAGGAAGGGAGAAAGACAAGGTATTCGAATGAAATGGCTGTGTTACAACAGCTGGGCCAAAGAGCAGCGCTCACCTTAGCAGGCAGCCCTTGTTCTCCCTTGCCTCCTCCTGGACTGGATTCCTCACTTGGGGGGAAAAAAAAAAATATTATCAAGGTATGATTAACACTTATGGACCGTGGTACTGTGCTAGGTTTGGGCACAATACAAGTAAATAAGACAATTATTTTCCCTCTTCACCTATATTTAGAAGCAGGAATCAACAGAAGTTTTTAATATAAGAACCTAGGACAGTATTAAAAACAAGATATGAAGGATACTCTAGACAGTACTATACACTCTATTTTGAAAGTAAAAGCCTTTCCGCAAAAAAAGAGGATATATAAGCTAAGATTCCAAGAATGAGGAGGAACCAGCTAAGAGAAAAGAAAAAGGGTTTCAGACAAATAGACAAGGTATGCTGAGATGTGGAGTCAAGAGAGCTTACAGAACATGTGAGAAACTCTAAGGGCTGTTCACACCTGCAATATAATGTGTCCTGGGCAAAGCTTGCCTTCCCCAGAGCCTGGCCTGTCTTAGGTTCACAAGCTGACTGTAGGCATAGCAAAATGCACTCTAATCCTAGCTAAGATGTTTTCAATTACTTTTCAATAAGCTGAAGTCTCTGATGGATATTCTCTTTTGGCATGAGCAGATGAATTCTGGAATCTTTAAGCAAAATTTCAGATTCTAGATCAATTAGGTTTCTTTTCTGGACAAGTACAGGGTCAAAATGGCAAATGGAGGACATTATACTCACACAAAGAAATTGATGCAGGCAAACTTGTGACTTAAATTTAATACTACATTCTAATCTTTACAATAAAATAACAACAACACAATGAAAAAGAAGGGAAAATACCCCCTCAGAATTACTAAGTGATTTTACTAAAGTGTCATCACTTTCAGAGCCAGGAATTCAAATTAGCAGTCTTCCTGCTAGCTTCAGTGACAGATGAATCCATTCACTCTGCAGGTTTACAAAGCATCCTGAAGAGCTAAAAACCAGTGGAATACTCAATAACAAGAAGAGATCCAGGGTACTTGTGCTCGAGTCCTATTTACTTAAGATCCAAGAAACAGTATTGAGAAAAACCTGTTCTGGCTACAAGGTTGATTAATATGGCGTCACTGATTCCAAAATAACACAACACATTAAATGCTCTATAGACTTTAAGATTGTTAGCTCTACCTTTATTTTGCCGAGTACATCTGAGCACAAAAGACTGGCCTGTTTTAGAGGTGCTTCCATTCTATTAAAAAAAAAAAAAGGCAGCACTGAAGATAAGAAATGTCTTTGAGGGCTTCCCTGATGGTCTTGTGGTTATTATTCCTCACTTCATTAAAGGGAGCACAGGTTCTCCCATCCCTGGTCAGGGAACTAAGATCCCACATGCTGCCAAAGATGAATAAGTAAAAATAAAAACAAGTACCCCTTCCCTCCCTCACATATGGCTATGGTCACTTAAAGGGAAAAAAAGCCCCTGAGTAATCTGCAAACTCCTTATTTAGGCAATTTCTGCCATTGAGTGACCTTTATAGAATAGTGCAGTCAGCTCTCCATCTATTAGCACCTCCAAAAGCAACACTCTTTTTCTCTTCAGCCAATCTTTCATCACCCGCAGAGGAGTTCAAATTCTGGCTCTGTAGCTGTCATCGCCAGTCATGCCACTGGATTCAAAACAGCACTGTACTCTCTGAAATGAGAATGACACCTTCCCCAACTGCTAGCCTCATAGTAACCAGAGGGGACCCCTCGAGAGCAATTCCACTGCCCGTTCGGCTTCCTAATAGAAGTCAGACTTCCTAATAGAAGTCTTCACTTACTCTGCTCTGTTCTTTCAAAGAGAAGGCATTTTACTGTGCACTTTGTTATGGAAAGGTGTTAGGATCTCTGTGATGAAGAAGGTTATAGCCAACACTGACATTTAGGAAGGAGGAGATATATAAATATGATGTTTATCATTTAAACATACATTGTTTATTGCTAGTCTTTAACACTCTCCTTTCTTTTCGACAATAGTTAAGACCAGTTCTCAAGAGTCATAGCAGCAGGACACTTACAGATCGCCTCGGGTTTTCCTCTTGCCATTGGATATAAGGAATTGTTTTCTATAGGACTCCGGAGTGAAGGGATTAATGTTGACCAGAGCCAATGAGGTCATCTCATCGATGAACGGGCCGGGTGTGAGCTTCAGATGCTTAGAGCTTCTGGGGAGAGGCTTCCCTGCTGAAGAAATCATTGACTGGCTCACCTGACCCTGAATGAGGATGACAAAAGACAAATCAGAATGAAGTTAATTTTAAAAAAAAATGGCTCTGTATCAGTTAGGTAGTTAACATTTCAACCAAAAAAAAAGTTATTGCTGAAAGGGATATTCGAGGGTACCTGGTACAGTGCAAATTATTTGCATGGTAACTAGTCCTCTTGTGAAACATACAGATCCCCAGACTACCTCTAGATATTTTGATTCATGGGATCCACAAAGCAATCTGTACTTTTATTTTAATGTTTTTTTTATTGTGGTAAAAGTCACAGAATATAAAAAATACTATTTTAACCATACTTAACTGTATGTTACATTCAGTATGTTCAGTGGCAGTAAGTACATTTGCATTGTTGAACAACTATCAAGCAATCCGTTCTTGTGTCAACTTCCACTCCCTTCCCCTGGGCGATTCTGTTAGCCAGCTGTGAGACCACCAGTTCGAGTCCTACCTCCAGCTTTTTAAAGGTGACATTGAAGCTTAGACAAACAACGACGCCAAAACCCCCGGCACTTTGGTTCCCAGAGCGTGTACTTTAATTTCCCCTCAGTTTTTCATCCCAATATTTGTTTGTTGACTGCTAAGTAGCAGGTGAGCTTCCCTGCTCAACCGGTAAAGGATTTGCCTCTAATTCTGGAGACCTGGGTTCTTGCTGGGCTCGGTGCTGAAGGGTGAATTCCAGCTTTTAAAGAACACGAAGTCCACTAGTCCGCAGCTTAAAATCACTTTATAAGGGAAAGATTTCATAGACTAAGCATGGAAGAAGTTCCCAGTTCCACTTAAAATGCAGCACCAGCTGAGAGGAGCTCCATGAGATGGGGTAGAGAGGTTGAAAAGGAATAGTCTAAGCCCTTCAGATGCAAGGCTCTGCAGGGCTCTAACTAGCATACTAATCCACAGGAAAATGTGCAGGACTTACCACTCCAAGTGGGGTACAGTGAAAGAGCACCAGCCCAAAACACAACCAGAATTAAATCAAACCACAGAGGTTAAGAAATCAAAGACTTCTGATGAGACAGCAGAATGCTATTATGACCTAAGCACCAGGGGCCAGAGGAATGGCTATGTTATAGATTCAAGAGGACACTAGTAGACTCCAGGGCCAAGATATTACCTCACAGTATAATTACTGTGGGCTTCCCCGGTGGCTCAAATGGTAAAGAATCTGCCTGCAGTGCAGGAGACCCGGGTTCAATCTCTGGTCAGGAAAATCCCCTGGAGAAGGGAGTGGCTACCCACCTCAGCATTCTTCCCTGGAGAATTCCATGGACAGAGGAGCCTGGCGGACTATGGTCCATGAGGTCACAAAGAGTAAGACACAACTGAGTGACTAACTATAACCATTGTATTGTGAGGCTCTTTCAGAAAGAATTCTACCATTTTGATTGTCTCTGCCCATGACTTTTGAGTGTAGAAGCTGAAGCTACATTACAACATGACTCACTACATAATGTAATTAAAGACGTGAGTCTACAAAGAATGTATCCTGAACTTATTAATAAATACTCATTAAATGATTGATAGAAGCAGAAATGAAGGAAGCAACATAGTAACCTAATGTTTTAAATGAAGAAAAAATTGACCCTCAATGAAGAGTTTTGATAAGGGTTTACATAGGTCTTAGAATTCAGAGGGTCAACAAACCTTGGGGCTATCATTATTCAAAGCCATCAATGACAAACAATTTTCCCATAAGTTTACTGTAAGGGTTGAGTATTGGTTCAAAAGAAATAAAACTATACAATATGGTATTTCTCAATGGTCAATGTGATTCAGGAAGTGAATTTCGAATTATAGTAAATCATTTTCTGAAACAGTTTTTTTTTTAATGCTGATTAGCACAGAAAATAAAATATACCTGTCACATATGAAACAATAGGGCACCAACTCCTGAAACAGTTCACATAATTCCAGTTGCTACAATTCAAGGACAACAAAAAGGGCCTAGAAACTTTTCAGCTAAAAGTAATGAAAAGTGTTCATATCAAGGCAGACAGTACCAGAATTCCTAGTCCGGAAATATGAAGGCTGATATATTTTGTGAACTCCACTTAAAATATAGAGAAAGACATTAATACACATTTTATTGCCAGAGTGATAGAATTATGAGTAATCCTTTTGAAATCTAAAAGAACACAGTTTGCAAGAAGATTTATGATGAAAATGAGTTCTGCCTGGAAATAAAACAGACTGAAAATATGGAAAGATGACCAGGTACAAAGTAAAAGTGTGTCCCAGAGAGTGTAGCTAGTTCTATGTAAGTAGCAGCTCTTATAACAGGCGATTAAGAGAAAGAAAGGATATTTGGGGAATAGCTCCTTGACTTCTGAAGACGGTGAGAGAAGGTGGCAGCCTCCCATGAGGCACAACATCACAGGGAAAGACTTTGAAGGCCCAATACCAACTGTTAGCTTCCTGATGCTCGACTCCCTGCTACAGCATTCCTACACTAGTCAACTAGTGTTCCATGCATTTAGCCACAGGGAACTTACTACCTCCTAAGGAAACTCTTCTATATCTAGATAATTCTGCTAGGAAGTCCTTATGATGACCTGGCCATTTCACATAATTTCTGGTCCTATCCCTGTAGCAAGGCTGAATTAAGCCAATCCTGCCTTGCTCTGCATTCCTGTCTTTAGTGCTGTGTGCTCGGTGATGTCCAACTCTGTGCGATCCCATGAACTGTAGCCCACAAGGCTCCTCTGTCCATATTTTCCAGGCAAGAACACTGGAGTGGGTTACCTTTCCCCTCTCCAGGGGATCTTCCCGACCGAGGGATCAAACCCACATCTGCTATATCTCCTGCACTGGCATGTGGATTCTTGACCACTGAGCCACCTGGGAAGCCCATCTTTAATACAACATCACCAATTACCATCACCCTGGCCTCTCTCCTCTGATCTTGATCCCAACTATGTTTTTCATAAAGTGTGTACTTTTTCAGTTGCTTCCCAGTTTCCCTGCCAAGCTCTGTTCTCTTTCTGTCCCTTAAATCTTGGTATTTCTAGAGTTCCTAACTTGTACCACTCTTCTTAGTCTGGCAGACAGGTTACATAAACTTAAACACACCCATGGCTTCAACAGCTTCCTAAATGCCGGTGACATCCAAGTATAGCTCTCCAACTGGGGTTGTTTTCCTGCAGTGCAGAGCCATGTATCCAACAACTTACACCATATCTCTCTCCAAACCTATACCTCCTCTAATGTCACCTACCCAATTCAAAGTACCATCTACTCAATCAGACAAGCAGGAAGCCTCACAGCCCCTGAGACCACTCCTTTCCCAGCAACCCCTCCATCAAGTCTGTTATCAATTCCTAAACATCTCTCAGCTTACCACAGTCCACCACTGTCCTAGTTCAGGCCTTTTTTGAGAAAAGGCCCTTCTCTTTTCTCAACAGATCTATTGTGAACACTGCCCTGCCTCATTGGTCTCTCCCACTCCATTCCATCCTTCACATGAAAGTCATGATTTCTCAAAAACGGCCTCTGGCCAAAACCACTTGATGGCTCTCTCAACACTTTCAGGGTAAAATCTTGATCTAGCTCCTACCTACCTACCTACTCTGGCCCCACTACCTGCCCTCTCACACACCCAGACCCCTGCTGCTCTGAATAACATGTAGTTTTCCAGGTGTGGCATGATCTTTTCCCTCCAGGACTTGGTAGATATTTTTCCCTTGGCCTTGAGTTCTCAATCCTTCTCTTCCTAGCAAACTCCAACTCATTCTGTAAGATTGCTCTCAAATATTGCTTTCTTTGGAAAGGTTTCCTGGCTATCTTGAGACTTAATGTCTCATTAGTTTTCACCACACTCTACCACTCCTTATGTTCACCTGCTCTGAACTTATTATTGCTTACTTTTGTATATTTTTCAATCTGTCTCCAAAAATGATGGAAATAAAAACAAAAATAAACAAATGGGGCCTAATTAAACTTAAAAGCCTTTGCACAGCAAAGGAAACCATAAACAAAACCAAAAGACAGCCCTCAGATACGGAGAAAACATTTGCAAATGACGCGGTCGACAAGGGATTTAGCCTCCAAAATTGACAGACAGCTCGTGAGGCTTAATATCACTAAAACAAACAATCCAATCAAAAACTGGGCAGAAGACCTGAATAGACATTTGTCAAAAAAAGACAAACAGATGGCCAAGAGGCACATGAAAAGATGTTCAACATCACTAATTACTAGAGAAATGCAAGTCAAAACTACAATGAGCTATTGCCTCACACCATTTTGCAGGCACTTGTTGAGGCAGTGAAAGGCTTATCAGCAGAAGGTCTGCTAACATATCAAGGTGTTCAAAGTTTTCAGTGAATGGAAGAAAATATACATACCATGTCATTTCCTTGCCTGTGCACTCTTGCTCAGAACCATATGCTCTCAATCCACTCTCCCCCAATTGCCATGTGTTAAAACAATACCAACTATCATTAACCTTCTTGTACTTGCTTTAAGTTCATTTCTTTTCTGACCAGCCACTGAGAAACAATCTACCCAGAGAACTCTGACCACACTTGAATCACCTACCACGTGGTATCTGCAGACACATCTCCCCTCCGGGAGATTGCCATATGCTCCCAGACCACAGTGGGTTCTCAAAAAATAAATGGATGATTGATTGGTTATAGGGACCATTGAAAAACCCACAGATGGATACATGAAGGTATGAAAGTAGTTTGTCTACCACTCAGACAAGAAGCCTGGTATTTCCTGGTAGATGTGGCGACCACCCTCGGCAGGTACAAAGGAGACCTGCTGACAGTGACTGCGCTGCCAGCAGAAGCAGAGATGTTACTACCATGATCTTAAGTGCCTCAAGCCGAGCCAGCAGGAAGCAGAGCTAATTCCAGGCCTAAGGCTCTTATGCCATGTCACCAGTCTAGACAGAGGTACCCCTGCCCAATCCTAGCTTTAATAGTATGAACGATGTAATAGGAGACCAAGCACAGCAAAAAAGAAAGGAAGATGCTTTCTCGGGACTTTTGCTTGTTTGCCATCCTCAGCTTATAAAATAGTATCAACGTTAACCTCTTGTTTACCTATAAGAGCCTGTTCATCACTAGACCAAGAAAGGGTGAGGACTTCTTTCTGAAAAGAGCATCAGCAAAGATATATATACATATATATATATACATATATATATATATATATGTTCAAACAGTGAAGTACACATATTAGGCAATAATAGTAAATAATCACAGAAAAATAGAGCCAGTTGGCGTAATGTAAAGAACAATAGAATAAGCTCCAAAGATTGTGTATCCAGTCCTTTTGCTGCCATTGGCTGAGTAACAGGCCAGTTTCTCTCCTAAGACCTTGGTTTTCTCATAGGTAGAATATAGACTGGGCTTCCCTGGTAGCTCAGTAGTAAAGAATCTACCTGCCAATGCAGGGGACATGGGTTCAATCCCTGGGTTGGGAAGATCCCCTGGAAAAACAAATGCAACCCACTCCATTATTCTTATCTGGAAACCCCATGGACAGAGGAGCCTCGTGGGGATCACAAGGGTTGGACATGCCTTAGCGACTAAACAATAACAGAGTACAGTCTGGCCTATAGACCTCTATTTTTTCCAGCTCCAGTATTCTTTCACTAGGAACGTTTTCCCCATCCAAGATTTATCTGGGGCCTACAGCAATGGTTTTGAGTAGACAGCGGGAAAGACACTTAATTCTGTTTTCTGATAGCTTTCAACTCTTCTTCACTTTCACCAGCAAATACATAATTGAAGACATATACAGAGCATGAAGCACATCCGTGACACACCCAGACCGCACCCTCATTCTCTATCAGCTGAACTGAAGGAGCACAGGCCCAGGTGGCCTGGCTTCCGCTCCCCCCATAGCGGACTTACTTTGGGAGTGAAGGGGCTCCCACAGTGTGACGGCCTGCTCTTGTCTGGTGGGGCTGGTGGTGTTTCAGGGCATGCGAGAGAGTGTGACGCTGGAGTCCCGAGACCCTGGCCTGGACTTGCTTGGTCTCTTGCGTGAAATGCGCTGAGGTCACGTTTGTTACTAAGGGGCGTCCTGGGAGGTGTGAGCTTCGCCTCTGGATCCTGACCTCTAGGCCTCTCTGGGGTTTGACTCTGGGCCTCCT